ATTTCACCTATTTTTTGACGACGGTGTTAAATTTGTCTTTACACAACTCTTCTCTACAATGGCGACTGTAGTTTTAATCCAGTAGTTTCAATCAGCTCGAAAAGAGAGTCAATATTAAAAAAGGGGTTCAAAATTGTGAGACAAAAATTACTCCCCCATATGTGCATTTCAAATGGCTGGAGTTAGATCTACTCAAGAAAGGGAGAATCTGAAACTTTTTTAACTCTCCTTTTGTTGTAGTTATTATCAAGCCCTTGAAAATGGACGGTTGGCGTGGAAGAGATGCGGGAGTGGAAGGGGAATATTGAATATCGCTTACTTCAAAATTTTAGGAATTTTGAATATTCCAGTGAAATGTACGGAATACGGAATGTTTCAATAAAACACACATAAAGGCAAGAATAGGAAAGAACTCGCCCATCTTCATAAATTTATGAATTAACGAAATTAAAACTTAACTCAGTGCTACCTAGTACTTGAAAACTTACTAAGGAATGTTCACCCCTGTACAACAGCGGAACACGGAACATCTTAATTATAAGTTGAGATATTCCCCTTTCTTCATGCTACATGTGAACCTGTTTTTGTTTTTAGATTATCCCTTTTGACACACTAAAAGACCAAGACTCTAAATATACATGTTTCGCCTATTAGACCTTTTCCCATTTCACCCCCGAGAATTGATACTTACCAGTGTATGATATAGAAGCAAGAGCTGTCGCAAAATTTCCACCGCTCTGAGTCAGTGCAGTATAATCACGGTTAAAACCTAATAGTTTCGCCGCAGCAATCGTACCCAAACCATTCGATAAACCAAGCACACACATACCAGCCAGTCTCACGTTAACAATATTGACAAATACAAATATCAGTATAATAGCAACAAGCATGAAAGAATAGAGGATGAATGCTGTCAGGAATGAGATTCGCTTCAAAATCCATGGACTGACAACAGCTTTGCTAAAGATGTCAGGAACAGTGAAAAAAATTAGAACAACTGGTGTAGACAGCAAGGAGCCAGCTAAGATATCTTCAGTAGCGGTCCATAGTACCAAA